ACGTGCGCTAATTCACAAATTAAGCAATGCGGAATGCCGACCCAAAAACGCTTACTTATCTTTACATTTCATACAATATATTTTAAAAATTACAATAGTCGACGAGAAATCAGACCTGTGGCATTTTATCATATTCCTAATGTAAAATTTTCCGATGAATCCGAATCCTAAGTCAAAAGAGAAAACAAGTAGAACAGTTTTCGAGATATAGCCAAATTTCAGTTTTCTGAAGATATGAAAAATGGGCACTTACATAATATAAAGCAGTTTTAGATATAGTGGGCCAATATCAAACTTCTTTTAACATTAATAAACCTTTTTAAATTTGCCATCATCTAAGTTAACAACATTTTACAAATGAGTTTAATGGTTTATTAGCTACTTGGCGTGTTCACAACAGTATCGTAAGTGTCGTAAATAAGTATTTAGAATGCTTTAATCCAAATTTTGTTAAGCAGTGTGAAGATGCATGCTATGACTTTTATGGTACCTTGAGGGCCCCCAAAATATATTTTTAGCTTTTTAAATTTTACGACATGCAACAGTACGACACTTACGATACTGTTGTGAACACACCAATTAGCTAATAAACCATTAAACTCATTTGTAAAATGTTGTTAACTTAGATGATGGCAAATTTAAAAAGGTTTATTAATGTTAAAAGAAGTTTGATATTGGCCCACTATATCTAAAACTGCTTTATATTATGTAAGTGCCCGTTTTTCATATCTTCAGAAAACTGAAATTTGGCTATATCTCGAAAACTGTTCTACTTTTTTTTATATTTTGCCTTAAGATTCGGATGAATTGGAAAATTTTTTAATCACAATTCATATAAAAATTTTTTATTTATTATTTCTGTAAACAAAAAGAACAGTAGTGTGCAAAGCCTAAGCAATGAAAAGCAATTTAATTTTTTTTCTGCCACTAATTTTTATTTATTTAGTTGATTCTTTTTTTATAAAAATATAGTTCAGTCTATGTTTAATATACACAGTATAACAGACAGCCTTGCAAATCGACATTTGCTTCAACTTATCTTACATACACGCAGTATTGTGCAAAACTCAAGCAACAAAAAGCACTGCTACAATAATTATTCATTTATTTGATTGTTTTAACTTTATAAAAATATTTTTCATATTTGATTTATATGGTATGTTTTATAGAATGAAAAATATTTTTATAAAGTTAAAACAATCAAATAAATGAATAATTATTGTAGCAGTGCTTTTTGTTGCTTGAGTTTTGCACAATACTGCGTGTATGTAAGATAAGTTGAAGCAAATGTCGATTTGCAATACTGCACTTAATGCAAAAATATGTACAATACAAAAATGACCACACTGGAACAAAACTTAAATTTATTTATGCATACCTTAACTATTTTAATATATTTCCAGAATATTGATATAAAATAAAATAAAAAAATCATTTACTTTCAGTTCGATTTATTAGAATTGCAGGTAGTTTGTGTATGTTAAACTATTTGTAAAAAGCACTCAGTTATTAGTTGCAGTTAAATAGTTAGCAATAGTTTCCCTAAGGTTAAATGCTTCCTCAGATGAGCGATTTGTTTGCCCTATTCTGACAGAGTTCATTGAAGTGTCTGTGTCTCTACAAGTACCTGGAATTAAACTTCCATTTACTTCATGATCGACTAAATTCTCGTTAAAATAGTTGGGGTCTCTATCCAGCATAAGATAGTTATGTAACACAATTGTTGCTAAAATTATTTTATCTACATTCTTGGGCGCGGCATGAATGGGCTTATGTAGAACCCTCCATCTCTTTGATAAAATGCCGAATGCATTTTCAATATGTACTCGCATTAAATTCGGTCGCATTAAATTCGGTTTTAGTGGAAACGCACTGTCACCAACAAAGAAATATGGGGAATTTATGTTAGATCCTGCAATATAAAAAATTTTAGTGGATTATGCATATTTAGAAACGGAATCAAATTCGGTAATACCTGGAAGATAATCTTGTGAGGGTATGTCAAGTTCTGCCCTTAAAATCATTTTCCCAAATGCACTTTTCGATAAAACACCACCGTCGCTTTGACTTCCGAGTGCTCCCACATCCACATAAGTAAATGTGTAGTTAGAATCACAAGTGGCGAGTAGGACTATGCTAAATGTTTTTTTGTAGTTAAAAAACAAAGAGCCACTGTTAATTGGGCGTACAATATTAACATGTTTGCCGTCAATTGCGCCCAGGCAATGAGGCATTCCTGTTTTTGCGTAAAACCTTAGAATGTATACAAAATTTGGCATTTTTAAATTCATACGGAATAAGTAGAGAAAAAACCTGTCGGCAATGTTTCTTAATTCTCTTACATTCGGCTTGGCAACATAAATATCATGTAGTTCGCTCCAAATTGCTTCACATGTATCGTAAACGACTTGCCGGACTGTTGAAGCTCCCATTTTATGCGACCAAGCTAAAAATTGGGGACCACACCCCTGTGATAAGTACCTGAGATTTTCGTAAAAATAAATGTTTAGGCACTGTAACTCGACAAGAATATTTAATATATTTTCATAACTGCATATGTACTTACAGCAAGGTCAATCCCAAACGAGTTTCTGGTGCGATTGGCGCTCGTCTTGAATATCGTTGGAGTTTTTCCGTCAACAAAACTAGCAATGTATTAAACTTTTCCACAGTCATCCTCGTTGCTTTAAAAAAATCCTCTTGGTCTGAAATTTTCATTTGAGAAAGGCTTGTTTCAAAAAACCCCAGCTCATTTCTCTGAATGTTCAAAGGACGAACCCACCATCGTCTCCTTAAACGTTGTGCAGCGTAAGTGTAAGCCTCATACAAAGTATACACGACGGATACTATTTGTAATATCTGATAAACTTTTAATAGTCTAGAATTCATTGCAACAATTCAAGTCGTTCACTTTCACACAACCGTTGACGTTCGAATAAAATTTAAGTTTTTCTTACGCTGATACGTTACGTTCCAATTGTGTGCTTAACGGTCGTATTTTCGTATTGTGACAACGCATATACGTATTTGCGAGGTGCGTCTTTGCGTCATACGCTGCAATTCTGCTTCGACGGTAATTGTTTAATGGGAATGTTGCCATTTCTGCGCAGGGTTGAAATTTTTGGAATTGCTTTCTGTATGTTTCAAATTTTACCGCCTTTGTTATTTTATTACCAGTAGCTTTGCAAGTAGCTCGAAAATAGGCTAGTAAAAGATTGGAATATATCAGTGGTATTCATCCAAACCGATAACTTTATCAAGCAGATAATCTTATAAGTTTACGTAGTCTGTTACATGGTTATAGAGCACAGTATCACTAACTTTATACTACTAGCACAAGGATAAAGAAATTATAGAAACTAACTCACTAAATGTGAAAAATTTTATTTGCGAGATGATATCTATTTAAATAAATCTCCTTCTTAATCATCACACTGCGGAATGTCTCCATCCTTGGCGCTTCTTCTTTAAAAACCTTTTGTAGGAGTCGTTTGATGCACTGGATTAGTCGCTCCCAGCAGCCCCCACTATTTGGATCTGCGGGACAGTTGAACACCCATTCGATTTTATTCTTAGACATCGACCATCCTCTCCGACTCCTTCATCTCCCTCTGCGCTCCGACAAAGTTATTGCCATTATCGCTTCGAATGCGTATGGGCACTCCACGACGATTAACGAAATTTCGAAGACACATGATAAACGCATCTGTGGAAAGACTTTCAGCTAACTAAAGGTGCACTGCTGGAGTCGTCAAGCATGTAAACAATGCAATCCATCGCTTCTCTCTGCGCCCGCTGCAACTCCACTGTATGTGAAGGGTCGGACGTAAGGTGTTAGACGGTCTTTGAGTAGCAGGCCTATCAATGGTGCTGCCGGTTTTGCTCTGTCGTATTACAAGTCGGGCAGTGTTTCTTGACATACTTCACAACTCTGCGAATGGCAGGAATCCAATATCGTTGTCGAATTTCGTTGGTGTCGTTTTCGGTGGTGTTCAGTTACAATTAATTTTGTAACATAATTGTCTGTCCGCAAAATAATCGGGCGGCGTGCAGAAAGTGGTAGACAGTATGCTGCGTCTAATCTTCCGTAGACTCGGAGTAGACCTTCTTCGTCTAAGTAAGGCGCTAGCGGATGTAGGTAGCTATTCTTTGGCAGGGCAATCTTCTTCCTTAGCAAATCGATCTCGTTTTGATAGGCTTGTTGTTGTACTATGCGGCATATTTACTTTTCAGCGGCAGTCAGTTCATCGGTTTGCAGTTCTTCTTTGCGTACTTCCCTCCTGGCATTCCTGACAAAACGCAATACCCTGGCCAGGACTCTAACTAGCGTCAGAAAGGAAGAAAATTTAGTAAAATTGATTAACGGCTCACCTGCGGTACAGAGAAGAAGCTTTCGACTAGTTAGCTCCTCGTTGGCACATTCGACGGATGACAGCATAGTTTCTCGCGACCATTGTCCCTCTTGCTGATACAGAAACTCTGGTCCACGTAGCCAACGGGTGTTTATTGACGGCTCAGGTATCGATACGGCACGTGTGGCATCATCTGCCACATTTAACGCTGTGGGTATCCAGCGCCACTATTCCGCCGTCGTTGTTGACAGGATTTCCACAATCCTATGCGCCACGAATGGCTTATACGCTCGGGTGTGGGAACGTATCCAGATGATTACGGTCTGCGAATCGCTCCAAAAGGTTGTACTGTCACACTTCTTCTTCACACTACTTCTACCACGTCCCCCTGACTGACTCGTAAATAGGCGATGGCGGCGTATGCGTCTGTACTAGCGTCGACAAAGATGTGCAGTTGGACGTTATCGGCACTTGGTAACATACTCGAATAAAACGAGGTACAGCGTGTGAGTTCACATATTGATATTTAGTCCACCAAGCCTTCCATTGCTTGGCTAGCGGATGCGGCAGTTGTTCATCCCACGTAATGTTCTGTTTTCACGTCGACTGAATCAACAATTTCGCATCAATTGTGATGTTTGCCAAAAAGCCGAAAGGATCGTAGATTGACGTTACGATACCTAGTAACTTTCTCTTCGTTGGAGGCCGTTCGCAACGCAGAATGTCTGCAGGTATTTTAAGAAATTTGAAGTGAAACTCGAAGGCATCGGAGGAAGTGTTCCAATACATGCCAAGTACCTTGTCGGCGGCCGCTCTTTTCTCCATATTGGCAACTGTTAACTGCATATCGTTCTCACTATTTAGTCTCGCTTGCAAAGATTTGTGGTTCGACACGAACTTTCGAAGCAGGAAACCAGCTTCGGCATTAATTCCAACTGCCTTATAGTTTTTTCGGCTTCTTTGACGTCTTGGAAACTGATCACAAGGCCATCAACGTATGTTTTGTTGATAACGGCATCGACACCCTTTGGTCGCTGGGAAATGAACTTGCTGGCATTTGTATTTTTTACATATTCTGCGCAACACGGAGAACAGGCAGCGCCGAATATTATTGACGTCTTAATATAAACTCGTATTGGTTGGCTGGTATCGCCATCTCTCCACAGAAAACGTTGTCAGTCTTGGTCTTCGAGTCTGATCCATTTTTTCATTTCCTCAATGTCGCCCGCAACCGCAACGACGTCTTGGAAAAATTTGAAAAGTATAGAGATAGGCGACTGAACCTTCTCTGGCCCTTTGAGTAGTACGCTGTTGAGTGACACGTTTGATGCCTCGCCTAACCTTTGCTAATATACTTCTCGATTTCTCTTTTGTAGCTTTTGGCGAATTGCATGTCTCTTATCAAGCACGACTCGATGTTGAACAGACGCTTTTGTGCCATGTCGTAACTATCTGGTAGCTTCACGTCGTCTTTCCGCCACAAAAGACATACTTCGTAACGGAATCCATCGTACTTTGTGGTTTCTGCTAAGAATCTTTTGGCTCGGCTGTAGTCGTCGGATTCCAGGGTGGCGTTGACTGGTGATCTCACTACTAACGTATCACTTGCGATATAATCTTGCACCAACTGGTGTAGCTGCTTCATACGTGTAGCATCACTCAAGACGTGGTGGCCTGTGAACCCTGCAGTGGTCCGTATGCAACCTATCCCAAATTTGTTTCAGCGGCAATTGGTTGGTTGTGCCCGTCGTCCACGATATTACGCGCGACACCGAGGAATGAGTTGTCAAGTCCCAGTAGTAAGTCTGGCTTAACGTTGGAGTAGCTTGGCAGTGGCACGGTTTTAAAGTGCTTAAACTTGCTTCGATCGAAGGACTGTATGGGTAAATCTAATGCCTTGGTTATAATGCACGGGGCGAATCGTAACAAATCGCGGCGAATTCGTAAGGATCTATTGATTTTAGATGTTTGCGTTCAAGTGCATTATAATCGTTCGAATTCATTGCCCATACAATTCATAATTGAGTGACAGTTCACTCCGTTCCGTTACTTCCTTATAATCCAGGCATAAATTTCGAATGGTTCGTACGTTTTTTATGGCGAATGTACGGTTCGTGGCCTGCCTTGTAGTTCTACTGTTACTCTACGCGATTTTCTGAGCTATTGTTTTTTTCCATACCACTGTAGAGACAGTAGTGAAGTCTGCCCTTGCGGACCTAAGCTGGTGGCGACACTATCGTTTAGCAATGATATGGACGCACCTTCGTCAAACATTGCGTAGTTCTCCACCTTTCCCCGCCCCGAGGTCAAAATAACGTCACTGGCAATACTTTGAACAGGGTTGTCTGGCTTTCTAGATGGCAATTAAAAACATGTTCGACTTGATTGGCTGGTGTCCCGGTCGATGAGTGCAATAGTCGGTGGTGCTTTCGTTGGCAACCGTTTATACCACACGACGCCTTCCGTTGGCACGTCGACAGGTTGTGTCCACTGACAAGACACCGAAGCAAAGCTGATGGCGTTTGACGAGATCCCATCTATCGTTGACACTATACGACTTAAAGGCTTGGCATTCCGTCAGTGTGTGCCCTTGGCTGCACTGGAAGCATCGCGGTGGCTGTCGTTGATCGCGTTGTGCCTCGTTGCTGTGTACCACTCGCCGGCTACCACCTGCTGCTAGCGCTGTCTGCCGGTTATTTGAAGCTGGTAGAACGACGTGTATTGTGAGTATGTGGCGGGAAACTCGACAGAAGTGGCGGGAAACTTGACTGAAGTGGCGGGAAACTCAACTGAAGTGGCTGGAAACTCGACTGAAGTGGTGGTAAACTTAACTGAAGTGCGGAAAACTCATACAGAAGTGGCGGGAAACTCGACTGAAGTGACGGAAAACTCAATTGTACTGCAGCAACTTCAACGCGTTGCTCTAGGCTCCATTTACTCTGGCAGGTTACGTGAAAAGGCACGGCAATGGCTCCTTTCAATAATGCGGCGATGATTTTCAGGGCTCGAATTGGAATCTAGGCGCTGGCGACGGTTCGTTGGGAATTTCCACGATTCAACATGAACTTATGGTGCTTGTTGAATTAGCCGAGCTCTGGCTACACAAAATGGTTGCTACTGTGCACAAGTCTGCGGCGGCTAATCGGCAAATTCCTTTTCATTTGCAGAATCGGAGACAAGTTTTAGACCTTTTTAGAGACTTGCGTTTGTATGTAGCAAAATTACTGTTTATTAACCATTTAAGGAAATTACAAATATACTTTACGAATGCACGACGATTAAAAATAAGCAAATTGCACTTTTTCCACGACGATGAAAAGCGAAGCTAATAGGGCTAATAGGGTGAAAGTAAAAATCGCCTCGTCCGAACGGCCTTTCAAATATTCGCTTTGGCGCCAGCCAACTTGGAGCTCGTTCAACTATTTTCCTTGCAACCCTGCGTTTGTTTACATTCTGTATACATACTTTTTTCTTTTTTACTTTTATACTTTTATTTTATCTTTCAGCTTCGCTAAAAGCACTTCCACCAACGCTTGTCTTACCAAATTTACGCCAATTGATAAAATTTTGCGATTTAAATTTATTTTCAATAATGTAAATAACAATTCGTCTGAATCGAAAATCGCCTCGTCGGAATAGGGATGTCAACTTTTTCACTTTCTCATTCAACTTCGCATTCAACTTTCGTTGCCTGTAAAATCACCTTGTGCGAATGCCCTATAAGTAAACCTAAATCGACGATAAAAAAACTAAAAATTGTGTCTCCATCTGCTAGCAATCGTAAAATATGAGTGAGTATGATCGGTGTTGGCTGCAGTTCTGACAGCTTGACAAAATGTAGTGCTGCCACATGTTAGGTTCATTTAGTAGTCGTTCATATACGGTTTACAATGCATTTATAAGGTTTGATGAATACCCTTATTGAGCTTTTTGGACTTGCACGAGCATGTGTGGCCGTACAGTAAAGCTTGAAACACATTGGAAACGATGGGCTACTTACCACAGCTGTGAAATTATTTTAGCGATTACAGAGCTACACTCCGACTGTGGTTGTGGCCAGAATATATCTTTTTTTTTCTACCGACAGATAAGGTGCTCCCTCTTACTTTATGTCAAACTCATTGAAATTCATTTTGTCACTGCCACGTTCAAAAGGTCATCTCGCCATGGACAGAGCGTTTAGATAATGAACCGGCATGGGCAGAGCACGAGCACACGCTTAAAGAGCGTAATCATCGTGTGTACGTATACAAGCAAGAGACTAAAGCTGATGCCAGATAAAACTTTGTAGCTTTGCGTGACATTTATAACTTTGCCAGCAAAGCGCCAGACGCAAAAGGTATGCCACAATGAACGCCAAGAAAACAATGTTGTACCGCTTTTTTACTCATCAAAGTTGCTGTGGATTTTAATTATTTTGATTTAAAATTATCAGCAATGTAATTAAGTTTTATGTTTCTGCATGAAAACCCGAATTTGGACGAAACAAAATAAATATTAAACCGGCTGATTGTCAAAGCGCGCAAAAAGATGGGAGTTGACCATCTTTTCGCTTCGCGCTGCCGCTTCAACGATTTATGTGGCATGCTTTGTGCATTTTCATACAATTCATCTTATCTGTCAAAGCGAATCTGTCAAGTAAAGCGAAGCAAAAGTTTTATGTGACATCAGCTTAACGATGAGAACGCGACAGCATGCAAAATGAATAAGGCACACTAACACATTCTCACTTTTAGCTAACGCTTGTTTGGGGTAGTGCCCACCTCTTATAATGAAGGAATAATAAATTGGAAGCTGTGGCTCGTAGCTTGTCGTTCTCGATGTGTTCAGCTCTTAAGTTCGACAGGTTCTGGTTTTACATACATCGATTAAAATCATTTATCGACACCGAATTTATTCGATGTTTCTGAAGCATCGGTTAAAATCGCGCGACTATGCGTATCGTTCCATTACTAGCGGCGTTGAAATCTCAAACAATTTTGTATCGTGCATGATACAATAATTAAAGGTTTGGGGCATAATCAAGTACGGCATGATACGAAACTTTTTCTCGTGAGATCTCAGTGAAAAGGCTCATTTTTATAACATCCCCCAATATTACCACAGCAGTGGAAATCATATAGTTTCATATCATGTCATCCTTAGCATAATTAAGTAAAATACAAGTACAAGGAATATGTAGAGATACGTTTTGTTATTCATTTATTTACTGTAGGAAAACATTGATACATTTTTCTACAAGCAGTTCTGAAGTTTCACTACAGCGTGAGAGCTGATCGAAGTTCAAAATAGAAAATATACAGCCCTCATCATGAACGTGTCGACATCAACCAGAAAAATCCAAATTGAGCAAAGTGTGCCAAGTGGTTCAGTTGGAAAAGGCCCTTACGATATAGAGCGCAGTGTGGATCCGAATGAAGTGGTTATTAGGCGTAAATTAGGTAATTAAAATTGCAATCTACTTTATTTAAAACTTAAATAAAACATGTCGACGCAAGCATATGTTCATATGTATATGACGGAATACCTAATCCATAACAAAATTAGCAATGCAAAACAACAATCAACATTCTGCGTGAATGTAAAAATGTCACTTGAAAATGGATAAATATAAAGGTAGAAGTGGACCCTACTGAAAATCACCAATCAACATTCTGCGTGGAAGTAAAACTGTTGCAGGAAGTCGATACATTCTGCGGCAGAATTGGACGCTACTAAAAAACAACAATCAACATTCACATAAAGTTTTGGAACATTCCTGCTATCAACAACAATTAAAAAGATTAATGCGGAAGTAAGTATAACCAGTTCTAAAGCTTCTTATTTCATTCCTATGACCATGATACAAAAAGAAGGTAGTTTCACTTCAAAATTTTTGACAAAAAATGGGATGAAATTAGCATTTTCGCAAAGAAAAATCAGACTCGTGTTAGGCCATCAGCAGTATTTATGCGCAAAACTCCTTCCCGCGGTGGTGGCCTTCGGGGCGCTATAAAAAATGGCCTCATCCATGCGCAAAATCCCCCTCCAATTTACAAAAAAAGTGCATATTTCAAACCAAAATTTTAATTTTAAATTAAAACTATCCTTTGGCTAGACATATATGGCCACTTCTACAAGAAAGTAAACTAGCCCGATTTTTTCTTTCTTTCAAATATTGAACATATTAGTGATTATTGGTATTCACTGTATCTGTCAGCTAGTTATGACACTAATTCTTATCACATGTCCAAGCATTTTGTGTTTAATATTTTGCTCCTTTTGTCGAAGGAATTTTCACGAACCTAAAAACAGTTTTAGATACTAAAACAAGGAAAAGTACAAAAATATAAGCTTTCCTTGATTTATTTTGGCCGATTAAGTTCTGAACGATAGAAAATAAATTAGTTTAACAGTTAGCGAAAAAGTTCTTTAGAACTCCTATTAAGTCGTAATGAAATGTACCGCAAATGTTAAGTTTAACATACCAGTGAAAAACTAACAAAGCTGTTTTTTGGATAATTAAGTACCCTTTCCCAAAGAATATACACTTGTGGTCAGCTAATTAATCCAGCAACATTTTGATCAATTTTGGCTATTTTGCTTTCGTTTATTTAATGTTTATTATTTTTCCCTAAAAGTCTAGCTCATTATATAACAAACATTATATAAATCCAGATTTCAAACTTTGTCCAAAGATTATGAAAAATCTGCAAAGTTTCAGCTAAATTTTCAACTTTTTATTCAGATTTTTTTTAGAATTTTTTGAGTATGCAGTTAAATGCTGAAAAATTAAAGAAAAAAAATTTTACGTTTGTATGATTTTTTGCAAAATACTTGAAATTAATTTCAAATAGGAAATATTTAATTAGAAAATATTTTTAATTTGCCATCTATACTGANACAAACATTATATAAATCCAGATTTCAAACTTTGTCCAAAGATTATGAAAAATCTGCAAAGTTTCAGCTAAATTTTCAACTTTTTATTCAGATTTTTTTTAGAATTTTTTGAGTATGCAGTTAAATGCTGAAAAATTAAAGAAAAAAAATTTTACGTTTGTATGATTTTTTTGCAAAATACTTGAAATTAATTTCAAATAGGAAATATTTAATTAGAAAATATTTTTAATTTGCCATCTATACTGTTATACATATATTTTGAAAGCCGTTTTTTTCTAACCGAAAAACTTGAGAACAGCTGTACCGATATTTTTGAAATTTTGGGCCTCGACTGTAAACCCTCAAAGAATGGTAATAGAAGAGGCACCTCCCATACAAACTTAAGTTTTTACAAAACATATCTCTGGAAGTATTCATCGTAGAGTGCTGCAACTTAGTATGGAGATATATAATATCAACGCCAAACTCAGGCAAAAATGAGAGTTATTGAAAAAGGGGGCGTAGAACCTCCCATACAAACTGAATTTCTCACATTAGAATGTGTATGTGGTGTGAGAAATTCAGTTTGTATGGGAGGTGTCCCGCCCTCTTTTTCAATAACTCCCTTTTTTCCATAAATTTGGCGTTGGTGTTATATATCTTTGTACTACTAAATTGCAGCACTCGACGATGAATACTTCCAGAGACATGTTGTGTGAAAACTTCAGTTTGTATGGGAGGTGCCACATCCTCTTGATATATCGAGATTACTTTTGATCTATTATCATCCTTGGATAGTCTGGAGTCGATCCCCAAAATTTCAAAAATATCGGGCTGTTCTCGAGTTTTTCGAACAGAAAAAAAACGACAAAAAAACGGCTTTCAAAATATATATTAGTATAAATCTATTTATATAAAAGAGGATGTATGTATGTGTCTATGTAGCTTATAGACTCCGAAACCACTCAGCGGATTTTGTTAAAATTTCCAGGATAGCTTCATAGAAATCCGGAGAGTGTTCCTGTGAAGTTTGGCTATTTTTGAAAGAGTTGCCACCTGTCAGAAAAATAAAATTTATTTAAATATGCAAGTAAAGTATTGTATGTAGATATCAAATGGAAGGTATTTGGGAAAGATATTTAAGAAAATTTACACCAAAAAATATTTTAATTAGTGTTGCCACCTGGTAAAAAATTGAAAAATAATGAATAATGCAATTCACACCAAATATATACTATATGTGTATCAAACGGAAGGTATTGGAGAAACATTTACATATTTTTGAGTAGAGTTGCCACCTCTTTCAAAAAAACTAAAATCACATAAATGTGTACATTAAAAATTATTTCGCAGGATCCGTTTCAAACGGGAGCTATCGGGAAATGTTTCAGTCAAGACCAATTATCATATAGGATTGCCACATACCTAAGAAAATAAAATCGGATAATATTTAAAAAAAATAACAAAGATATATAGTGCGATAAACTTCAAAGTCTGGCAAACCGAAAGCTTACCAGAATGAAAATGCCGATTCCAAATTTTTAAATCTATATGTGTGCATATGTATGCACGTTAATGCCAGAGTTGTAAAAAATTTCACCAGGTTGCAATTTAAAAACCGAATTCGTTTAATATTTAAAAACTAAAAAAGTGCTCAATATTAATGCATAATTTAATAAGGCTTAAAAAATATAATAAAATTTTTAATAACGATTTGTGCAAACGCAAAAAGAGTTTTTAGTTGCTGATCAGAAAAAGCTTATAACAAAATCATGCAACGTGTAATCAAAGGAGATGGCGGAATTATCTTCCTAGATGATCCAGGAGGTGCGGGGAAAACTTTTCTCATCAATTTAATATCGGCGTCAGTTCGAATGCGAAATGGGATTGCAGTAGCAGTAGCATTACCTGGGATTGCATCAACACTACTTGATGGCGGATGTACAGCGAATTCAGCACTTAAGCTTCCATTGAATTTGAAGCAGAACGAAACACCTACATGCAACATCAGCAAAAACTCTGGTATGACCATAGTCCTTAAAACGTACAAAATTATAATTTGGGACGAATGCACCATGACACATAAGAAATCGCTCGAAGCAGTTGAGCGAGCTATGCAAGATTTTCGTGGAAAAGATCAACCGATGGGAGGCGCTGGTATACTTCTTGCAGGTGACTTTCCTCAAACATTACCCGTTATACCTCGAACAACGGCTACAGAGGTATTGAACGCGTGCTCAAAAGTATAGCATCTGTAGAACTATGTTGAAAAAATTACGCTCCCAACAAATGTGCGTGCATTTGCTGCAAGATGCGTCTGCCCAAATATTTTCAAAGCAACTTTTGGATATCGGAAACGGTGAAGTTTTATTGATCGCACAACAAATGAGATATCATTTCCGTCCCAGAGCATTCAAGACACCATCGACAGAGTATTTCCGAACTTAGCGATCAACTACCGATATCCGGAATGGCTCCGCACACGTGCAATTTTAGCTCCGAAGAACGATGATGTTAGTAAATTAAACGGTCAAATTCAATTGAAAATTCTAGGAGAAGCAGTCGAATATAAATCGATTGATGCAGTAATGGATAAAGATCAAGCTGTTAATTATCCAACTGAATTTCTTAATTCTGTGGAGCCACCTGGAATGCCTCCTCATTCGTTGGCGTTAAAGGTTGGATCACCAGTGATGCTTATTCGGAACTTGAATGCGCCAAAACTGTGCAACGGAACCAGTGATAAAAAAAAACTAACACCGAATTGCTGATTCCACGTATACCGATGATTTCAAACGATTTACCGCTCGAATTCAAGCGGCTTCAATTCCCATTGCGTCTTATTTTTGCAATAACTATAAATAAAGCACAAGGGCAATCATTAACTATAGCGGGTTTGGATTTGAATGTGCTTTTCACATGGCCAATTATACGTCGCCTGTTCACGAGTTGGGTCACCACAAAATTTATATATTTACACACCAAATGGAAAAACTTAAAATATTGTTTATCTGTTAGCATTAAGGTAAATAAAAAGGTCTTCAGTTTCAAAACTTTCTTTGGCGTAGCAACGCGCCCCGGGTATTGCTAGTAACAAATGAAGTACATTTTTTAATAAAATCTATCCTATGGAAAAATGTTTGTGAATAATTTTTTAAATTGCAGACGTTTGAAATTAATTTCAGGTATTTTCCAAAAAAGTTTCATTTTTGGACACAAATAAATAAAAACCAGAGCCTTCTTAAAACATCGTCGGATAGATCGACCCGAAATTTAATTATCTTTTATTAAAAAAAGCTTGAAATCGGTTCATATTTGGGCTCTCAAAATTAATTTGTCCACAGCAACCTTTTTTGCCCCACTGTGCGCCGTTCGTAGTCATCTCGATCGATAAACCAGTCGACTTTGCTTTCGCGGAACACCGGACCTATATCATCTTTACTAAGCTGATTGGAAAGGCTTCGCGGAATTTACTGAAAGCACCTTCGCTGCGCTCCCCACACCAGCCGACGCCTACCTGGGTGAAGTAAGTTCCGCAGGGTTGTCACTGCTGCTGCAGCTCGCTTCGTACCAGCAGGATGCATAACGGACCCCCGTTCAAACTACTCTGATGAAGCGGCTGTTCTAGCCGATGAGCGTGACAACCTTCGTCAGACCGATCTCGCAAATCCCCGTATCACGGATCCCAACGCGGAGATTCGGCAGCTTGCGAACGTACATAAGCGGAAAAAGTGGGAAGAGCATCTGAAGACCTGTAACTTCGCCTCTGATGTGAGCTTAGGTCAACCGTGAGCTCACTGTCCATTCCGAAGAAGCTCGACGATAGGTTCGAAACCGACAGGTCATACTGCATAATCCGGCCAGGCATCGAGTGAAGGCTGCCCAAACTGCCACCAACCATTGAGCCTCTTGTTTTCACTTGCGGTGAAGTTCAGGTAGCCATCGAGAAGGCGTAAGCCTCCAAAGCCATGGAGCCCGACGGAATATGCATGTTGATGTTGAAAAATTTGGGTCCTGCGGGAGTAGACTATTAGTCAAGGTTCTTAACCTGTCAATGGCTACTCTCGTCATTCCAGACATCTAGAAGATGGGGAGAGTGATCCCACTGCTCAAACCTGGGAAACCGACCAACAAAGGATACAACCCTCCCTCCCCCGGTAGCGAACACACTAGAGGCCTTGCTACTCCCGAATTTTACGAGCCACCTGTCCTCAGCGAAGCATCTACATGGTTTCCGTAAAGTGCACAGAACAAAAACAGCACTTAACGCCATAAACACTCAGATAACACGTCGCTTAAACCGCAACCGTCCCTGTAAGAGAACCATTGTAGTAGCGGTGAATCTGTCAAAGGCATTTGATACCGTCAGCCACTCCACGCTGCTAGAAGACAAGTGTTGCCAGAACGTTTTGAACCAACCGGCTAAACTGGCTAAAAAAAAACCGGCTAGAAGCGGCTAAACTGTTTCAACTAATTTCACATGTTTTATTTAAATAAATCACAAGTAGAAAGACTTGTTCTTGGAGAGAAGTTGCAAATTCAAGCTGGAAAAGATTTTGCCAGCAAGAATTTGTAATTAGAAAAAACATATGATTGTGGCACGTGGTTGGATTTTTTGTCGACGATAATTTGAATAAAGATCGTTAAATTTAAAAATTTACAAACTGAAGCGATTTTAAAATGCAAAATGTAAGTAAATACTTGTTCACTTAATTAATTTAGTTAATACCAATGATTTGAAATGTACTCGGCTAAAAAAAACTGTATTCGTAATCGGAATGCAACTCGACCAGAGTCGATATAGGAAACCCGACAGTTGTTACGACAAAGGAATTGAAACGTATATTGAAGAAAATCGAACTCACATCCACCTTCGCTGATGATACCGCCTTAGTAAGTCGTAATAAATGTCCCAACAGAGCTTCAAGAGTACTAGAGGAACATTGGCAAACTGGCGCATAAAAGTCAATGAACAGAAGAGTGAACATACAACATTTTCACTCAGACCGCAAGTATCCCCCCAATCAAATTAAATAATGTCCATATTCCACAACCCAATGAGGTGACATATCTAGGAAAACACTTGGAGACACATATCAACCAAGATTACACAAATGAAGCTAAAGTCAGCTAGCGTCAACTGGCTTATAAACAGTAAATCAAAACTGAAACTAGATTATAAAGTACTTGTATATAATGCAGTGATTAAGCCTATATGGATGTATGGTATTCAACTGTGGGGTACAACCAACATTGACAGGATCCAAAGATTCCAATCTAAAACGCTAAGGGCCTTAACGGGAGCACCGCAATGAAAATATACATAGAGATCCTTGGTATACCGATGGTTAAATCTGTAATCGACAGCAGCAGAGAAAAATACAAAATAAAACTGCGTAACCACCCAAATCCACTGGCAAGTGGCCTGTGCAACACAACAAATATAACGAAGAAGAGATCTACCAGCCTTTCATTGAGCGACGTTAAACCAACAGGGCTCAACCCCAGGGTTTGAGCTATATTGTTGTAAAATTAGACGTAAGATTTTTAAACTTGTTAGGCTTATTAGATGTAAAATAAGCAGATCCAACAAATAAATGCAAGTATAATTAAAAAAAAATAAAAAAAAATATACATGTAGATCTCGTTTTTTGCCCCTCTGAAAGAATTTTAAAAATTCTATACAAATTTCTTATGTTTGAAATGCAATCGTGGACGCTTTCTGGCAGGGAAACTTGCCAAACATTGCTGCCAACTTGGCTGAAACCGTGCTATTTTTGGCCCTTTTACATCAAATGACATATAATTTTACAATGCCAAAATGGCACTTTTGAAAAATATTAATATTATAATACTTTTTTGTGAAATCCTTTGCCTTTCTCAACTAAAATTTTCTAATTTCTATAGTGTATACAACTGGTTTATCTAACTTTGGCATTGGACTTTTAATCTTAGTGCTAAATGGGAAGAATTAAAAAGAATGACACCTGTTTTGGCACTTTCTTTTTCTACTTGCACATTTTGGCACTTTTTTATCCTCAATATGGTACTTCGTAGCAATTCCTAGAAATTTGCGTTCGTACAGAAATTCGCAAGTTTCTCTACTTAAGGGAGAATTTGGGAGCATTTTTTTACTATCTGATATTTTGAGTGATAATTCTCGCTGGATTTTCGACGAGCAAACCTATTGTCTTCCCCGACAGTTTTGCTTTCATTAAAATTTGTGCTCTTTTATTTTCATTTTGACGCATTAAAGTGTTGGTTTTTTTAATTCAAGTTGTCCTTCGGTTTTTGGAATTTAAATAAGTTCTCAGCAAAAAAAGTTTGTATAAAAAAACATATGTGAACATAGTGCTTGAAAATATCAATTTTTCCCTTACCTTAAACCTTTATGCGTGGGCAACAATGATGTTTTGTAATTAAGGCAGAATTGAATATGCGCTATCTGGGAAGACAACACCTGTAACATTTATTCCATGTGTTGGCACTATATCCAAATACAAACGCGTGTTAAGCAGTGAAACAATTTGTTATTTTCTAAGTTTGCGAATAAAACTTCACACTTAAATTTAAGACATTCATAACCAACATTTTATGAAGAAAATTCACGCTACGGCCTTCTTTAGAAACTATTGAGGGATTCACAAAGGTGTCGTAAGTGTTGTATTGTTGTATGTCGTAAACTTTAAAAGCTTAAATAAATGCTTAGAGAACTTGAAACGACAACCAACTATTATTTAACACCGCAAAAATTCATAATATGACTTTGATGGTACTTTACGGACCCCTTTAATATATTTTTTAGGCGTTTAAAGTTTGCGACATACAACAATACGACACTTACGACACCGTTGTGAATACCCCATATATATTTGTTTAAAATAAAAATAAGCGAAATCGGCTCAATTTTAGGTAATTTTCTCAGCGATAAGGCTAGTAGCCATTTCTAACAGATTTTGGATCGCTTAGTCAAAAAAGGAAACATGTATATTAGAACTTTAAGGCAAATAGCAAAATCGGCTAAAAACGGCATTTTTTTTACAAACGGCTAACAAATCGGCTGCCGGCTAAAGCGAAATTTCTCCGGCTGTTTGCTATGCTAAAATGGCAACACTGTATAAGACATAGAGGCCTCCTCTCTCCCACAGAGTCTCAAACTGTGGTCGGCGAATTATCTGAGTGGTCGACACTCATCATTAATGCTTAGAGACAAATCAAGTAAACCTAGAAAAATAAAACAGGGTGATGTCCTTTCCCCATTACCGTTTAACTATTATATTTCCAAGCTCCTTTAACCACCAGAGGGAATCTCGACTGTCTCTTACGCTGACGATTTTTCGATAATGGCGTCTGGGAATCGAACCGATGACTTGTGGTCGAAAGTAAACGGGCATCTCCGAGCTTTCTCGCTTCTTCACTGCTAGGAGCCTAACCCTCTCCCCTACAAAATCCTCTGCATAATTGTTCACCACCTGGACGAAGGAGGTCGGACTATCGCTGGACATTCACGTCGATGACACAGTAGTTCCGACGGTGAACAACCCCAAAATACTCGTGGAGTTAGAGGTATACGCCGCCGAACCACGCCGCCGCCTCCGCCGTTTTTGTCATTCCTCACGCGCCGCCGCCGAGTTACGAAAATATCGGCGCGGCGGCGGCGTTCGGCGCCTAAGAAATTTTGTACAAAATTTTGATGTATATACAGTCAGTGCCAAATGTAAATGTGGTTCTAATACAATATTCACACTTATTTTAATGACAAAATTTTTTCATTCAATACTTATGAAAATATAGACTATTCTATAACATAAACCATATAAATCAAAGTTTCACACTTTATATAAAGTTCTCAAAAATTCAAACAATTTTCATCAAAATTTTAAAAAATTTTATTCAGAATTTCTAGAAATTTTTCAACATATTTTTCAATACTACAACAATACTACTTTTTTATATACATGCTAGAACAACAAGAAAGTTATCACACATCAAACACTATAACGCTAATAACTCAGAAAGCAGTTTTAACAGAAGCGGCCTCATTGCATCTTACTCCTCAATTATTACAGATAAAAACAAGACAAGTTGATCCTGTGTGTTTTTTTTTTTTTTAATATTTTAAACAGACTTCTAATAAAAAGCAAAAACCCTTTTTTGGTAATTTTTACATTGCCAAGT